CTAAAGCAAGAAATAAATGTAGTAGGAACCGTTCGCAAGAACACAAAATTGCCAAAAGTGCTAAAAATGTTATGCTACTACTAAAAATGTTATATTCTCACTGTTTATTAATTCTAAAATAGAAGGATAAAATACTGTTTACATGCTTAGTACAAAACATTCAATTATTGACTTTGTTGATACAAGAAAACGAAAAAGAATGCTCGGATGTTAGTTTCTTATTTTGTCTCTTCTCGTATTGCTTAGGAAAATTTTAGGATAAAAACAACAAAAACTTAGTATAATTTCAGCACCCTAGGTCATAATGAGTCTTATGACGATTTTATAAATCCTTATCTTGCTATGGAACATATAGAAACAAAATCATGAGAGCTTGAACAAGAGTGGGTTTAAACTCTCCTCCTGGTGTTTCGATATCTAAGGTTGTGTGTTCACCTACTTTGATCCTTCGTATATTGCCAGTTTTAACACTGCGGGTTAATTTTATGATTTGAGATAGTATATGTTTCTCCATTCAGAATATCTGATGGCACATCTTGTCAAATGCCTTTGTCGCATCTATGAAGCAAAAATAAGGAGGGTTTATTAAATTCTACTGACTTCTCTTTTAGTTGTTTGATGATAAATATGGTGTCTGTTGTTGATCTGTTATCTCGAAATCCCAGTTGTTCTTCTTTCTACGCAAGTTGCACCTCCACCTACTCTTTTATGATGCTGGTAAATAATTTCATACTTGTGTTTAGCAGGATTATTCCTCTATAGTTGTCCGGGCAGGTCTTTTGTACTTTTTGAAAATGGGTATTGTGATACTACTGCGGCACTTTGCTGGTAGTTGTGACTTTTGCAAAATATTATTGAACAGCGTCAGAAGTTTTCCAGTAAGCTTCTCTCCTTCTCATTATTATTATTATTATGTTAATCATAGATCGTTATCTTCTGGTGTTGTAGAAAGTATACTTCTGATGTATTTTATACAGGAAGTATGTATTACTTATTACATGTATTTTGATTCTTAGCTCATTCCTGGCCTAGACATCTACCAAACGCTCGCCATTGTTCTTGATATGTTGGAGATTACTGCACTTCTTATTTGAGCATTTAGATATTCGAGTATTATAATTTTATGGTTGCTATTAAGCTTATCAATGGTATTTTATACTTCCGAATAAAAGTTCTCTAGTTCTTCTGTGGTCTTGGATATGTCAAAGGGCATATGTACTTATGATGTGTGTTATGATTTGGTTGATTTCCATGGACACTCGTAGTATGCTGTCATTTACGTATTCGATGTCGTTTATGTTCTGTGTGAACATTTCGTGGAATACTATGCCGACTTTAGAATGTGCTCTCTCTCGTTTTACCATTCCTCTGTATTGTAAGATGTACTTTTGATGTTCATTGGCTCTTTCTTTTGGTTTCTGATACTGATTACCCACATACAGGGTGTTCATTTCAAAACTTTCCACCTCAATTTCTGTAAATCCGGAAGTTTAAAAAGAAAATCGCTGAAATAGGTAAAGAATAAAACCAAGGGGGACAACTTTTTATGCAAAAATTGACTCACTCACTTCAACCCCCCGCCGCCAGAAACCAACCCCTTAAAAATCTTAAATGGAAAGGGGTGTCAAGTAATACCTCATTTTAAAGGTCTTTTAAGGTACTACATGTTAGTATTTATTTTTTTTAAATTGATCGATTCGTTTTCGAAATTTTTGCAAAAATCTTTGTTTTGTATTTCCCGCTTTAATTAATATTAAAAACTTTAATCACCTTCTTAAAAGCAAGAATAAATAATCTTTTATTATTGATTTATAAAATTAAATTACCATGTTCGTTTTTACAACGATCATTAAACCTTTATTATTTCGGAGCAATCGGAAATATTTTTTAAGAAAACTAAACACGTATAATTATGAATTAAACTAAATTTTATTGAAAGTATTTTACATTAAACCTGTATGAAAATTACTCTTGACTCAAATGGCCAAAAAAAGGAAAAAAAAAGAGACGACATTTTTCTCTTTCTATAAACGAGTTATAGACAGGCTCACAGTGCGAGAAAAGAATAAAATAAAAGTGCAATTCTAAACATAAGTTTATTTGGTTATTACTTAAACAACTTTGTGTTATCCACTTAACAAAGTTATTTAAATAAAACAGCAATAATGGTTTACAGTTTGCAGGAAAGGATTGAAATTGTATTAATGTATGGATCCCAAAATGAATGTGCTCGACGAACTGCCGCAGTTTTTAATGAAAGGCATCCAGATCATGAAGAAATTCACTCAGACTGGGTCCGTTGCCAACATAAAACATAATGAGTCGAGAGTTTTGAATGAAACCGCTCAACTGGAAGTGTTGGGTCATTTCGGTATCAACCCCAATACTTCATTGCGTCAGGTATCTCGTGCAACTGGTATATCCTTGGGTTCTGTTCATAAAGTTGTAAAACTTCACAAATTCCATCCTTATAAATTGAAAATACATCAAGAGCTAACTGAAGACGATTTTGACAGGAGAATACAGTTTTGTGAAGAAGTGACCACTATTATTAATAATAACAACGTTTTTGTGAAAAATATCTGCTTTAGTGATGAATGCACTTTTTCTTTAAATGGATTTGTAAATAAACATAACTGCAGATATTGGAGTAATGAAAACCCTCATCTGACTGTAGAAGGGCATACACAATATCCTGAAAAAGTTAATGTATGGGCCGGCATTTTGGGAGACCAAGTGATTGGTCCAGTGTTTATCGATGGAAATTTAAACGGCGAAGTGTACTTGGATATGTTAGAAAATACTATCAATCCACTAATTACGGAAGCTCTCGAGAATCAGTTGGATAGAGAAGAAAATGCCTTACTTGATGAGAATGAATTACATTTTCAACAAGACGGAGCTCCTCCTCACTATGTTCTCCCAGTACGACAGTGGTTAGATAATACGTTTCCAAACAGATGGATAGGACGAAGAGGTCCTATAGAATGGCCAGCCAGATCACCAGATTTGACGCCATTAGACTTTTTTTATGGGGTCATTTAAAGTCTGTTGTATTTACCCCTCAACCTCAAAATTTAGAAGAACTTCGTCAGAGAATTACTGCAGCTTGCCGTGGAATTCAAAGGGAAGTTTTTGAAAATGTGCGCCGTAGTTTTGAACAACGGTTGTACCATTGTTTAGCTAATAACGGACAACACTTTGAACAATTATTAAGTTGATTTTCTCTGCAAAAAGTTTTTGTACATAATTAAATAACTGAAAATAAAATAGAACGTTTCAAGCAGTTAAAAGTTGTTTAAGTAATAACCAAATAAACCTAAAAGAAAAGAAAAATGAAACAGAAATCGTTTTTTCTAAATATCTCTGACAGACGCCAGGCAAGCTAGCCAACGTAGGTATATCATTGTCAAAATAACCTAAATATCAAAGATTTCGGATTGCTCCGAAATAATAAAGGTTTAATGGTCGTTGTAAAAACGAACATGGTAATTTAATTTTATAAATTAATAATAAAAGATTACTTATTCTTGCTTTTAAGAAGGTGATTAAAGTTTTTAATATTAATTAAAGCGGGAAATACAAAACAAAGATTTTCGAAAAAATTTCGAAAACGAATCGGTCAATTTAAAAAAAATAAATACTAACATGTAGTACCTTAAAAGACCTTTAAAATGAGGTATCACTTGACACCCCTTTCCATTTAAGATTTTTAAGGGGTTGGTTTCTGGCGGCGGGGGGTTGAAGTGAGTGAATCAATGTTTGCATAAAAAGTTGTCCCCCTTGGTTTTATTCTTTACCTATTTCAGCGATTTTCTTTTTAAACTTCCGGATTTACAGAAATTGAGGTGGAAAGTTTTGAAATGAACACCCTGTATATGGAAATAATTACTAATAAGTAGATACTCTAGATTTCTTAAATTACTTTATTATACAGGGTGTGTCAAACGTCTGGAATATAGCCAATAACTTCGCCATTTGTGGTTTCAAAAAAAATGTTTTAAATAAAAAATTCTTTATTAATTGTATCGTCAATTGTTGCTATGGCAACCAACATTGTTATTGTCAATGGGATGCATATGTTTTTTTTGCATATTTTAATAGAGGATAAATCCTTCTACGCGATAAACATATCAAATCATATAAGTGTATAAGAAAAAAATCGAGAAAAAAATGCGTTCTCTGAAAATATTTTAAATCAGCAAATCACAATCAAAATAGGCTACGAAATAACGCCGTTGACAGCTTTAAATGTCAAAAAAATGACAGTTTAAACAAATATGGCGCAATTAAGCGAACGACAAAGAATTCAAATATTAATGATGTATGGGTACGGTAATAAAAAACGCACTCAAAGTGAACTTTTTGCATTATTCAATAATATTTATCCGGATACACAAATTACACAATCCACAGTATCCAAAATATTAACAAAATTCTTTAACACCGGAAGTGTTAAAAACCTTAGAAAAAATGGACGGCCGAAGGCAGCTACTAATGAGAACACTACATTAAATGTGTGTCATTGTACCCATACATTATTAATTATTAATAATTGTTAAAACTGTCATTTTTTTGATATTTAAAGCTGTCAACCTCGTTCTTTCGGCACCTACTTTGATTGTAAAATGCTGATTTAATATTTTCAGAAAAAGCAGGTTTTCTCGATTTTTTTCTTATACTACCATATGATTTGATATGTTCATCGCATAGAGGGATTTATCGTCTATCAAAGTATGCAAAAAAACTATATGCATCCCATTTGAAATAACAATGTTGGTTGCCACAGCAACGAAACAAAAACAATACAAACAAACAAATATCGCCAAAAATGCGCCAAGATTAATAAAGAAGCTAGTATGTGAAACATTTTTCTTTCAAATCACAAATGACGAAGTTATTGGCTATATTCCAGACATTTGACACACCCTGTATATTGCAACGTTGTTTACAAACATTAAAATATTAAATTGTTTTTTTACCCTTCATTATATTTTCAATCGAAAATAAAATATTTCTATGACAATTTAGAAACAATTCAAAAATAATACATATTGTCCATACAACACATAAGACCACATATAAATAGATGTGGTCTTTGTAAACCTAAATCATCTAATAATTAAAATGTTAACATTCAAAACTCCTTTTCGCCCTATTTGCTCTCTCCCATTTTCTCAATACATCCCTTTTCATTTCCTCTCGCCTTTTAAAATACTCCGGATATTGCATCTTTTCAAGAGGATGCCAATGATCAATAGCCCAATCTGGTGTTTGTACCTCTCTTTGAAACGCAGTTCCGCCAACACTGTTGCAAAATTTTTTAATGTACCAATGTTGCTTTTGAAATAGCTCTTCTTCTCCTTGTTGTAAAAGACACTGGGCCGTACGAATACTTTCGCAGCTCTTATTTCTTTCAAATCTGGCGCGCATTAAAACCGCTTGATAACGATACACTTCACGTCTATCATACCAACTTTCCAAATTTCGTAAAACACGTTTATATAAACTTTTTACCATTTGAGTATGGGTTAGTATCCCAGTTGGAAGATTTATACTACAAGTCATGATTTTTTTAATAATATCTTATTTTTAATTAATAATCAAGTCAAATTTCAAATAATTTATTTACATCAACATCCTTGATTTTATTTTATTAATAACAAATTTTTTTTTTTAGGTTTCGAGATATTGCCACTACCAATCGATACAACTCCTGCTGCCATCTGCCCACCATATGCTGAACTAGTGGCTGGAGTCTGCAAATGTAACCAGGATCTCTGTGAAAGGCCACCATGCGATAAAGTTCTAAATCTCGTAAAATCACAGTTTGAAAATGAAGAAAACTGTTGCCCAAGTTACACTTGCGATAATTGTATCGACAAATTTTTAATAAACGGAGAATGTATTTGCCCGGAAGATTCCTTTTTAAATCAAAAAGGAATTTGCGAATGCCACAATCATTACGAATCCATCCAAAATAATACTTGTCAATGTGATTTAACTAAATGTCCTTTACCGAATTTGTGTGATGATCAATCAGTTGGGATAGCTCAATCTATAGGATGCTGTACATTTATAGAATGCAAATTATGTCCAGATGATAGTTATCCGAAAAGATATAATAGCGATTTAATAGATGATAAATGCGTATGTAATATCTGTCCCAAAACTAGTTGCGAAGATGGCTACGTTCCTAAATATGAAAAAAGAGGACATAATATTCCCGGAGATTGTTGTGATTTATACGAATGCGTTCTCGAAACTTTCAAAAAAAATTGTTACATAAATTACACACTATACCATCACATGGAATCGTGGATGGAAGATGAATGTAAAAATTGTACCTGTGTTAACGGCGAATCTATTTGTACCACTGAACCCAGTAACGAACATTGTCGAGGAATTTCAATTAATAGAGTACTAGAAGACAATTGCATTGTAAACGAAACTTTGTATCGTCATTTAGAAACTTGGTCAGAAGACGAATGCACCAATTGCACGTGTATTAATGGAAAACCAAAATGCGAAGCTTATTTTTGCGATTCAAATGTGTCTATCATCACACCAGAAACACAAGAATCGCCGGAATGTCCGTATTTCAATTGCAAAAAGTTTTGTAAATACGGATTTAAATCGAACAAAAAAGGATGTCAAATTTGCAAGTGTAGATTACCGGACAAAATAAATAAACAAATGGAATACTTTATGCACAATCACAATTTAACCGATGATGACGTTTTGATTATTCTTAGGATGCATGTAAAAAATAAAAATGCTTTTGAAGAGCGTACAACTACAACTACCGAAATGTCAAAAGAAATTTATAAAATAGCAAAATACGAGCATCTTGAAGCATTTATGTACAATCATAATTTAACTGAAATGGAAGCTTTGAAAATGTTGGATGAACATCTTCAAAATAGAATTATCGATAAAAATCCAGCGGTATTTACACCACCAAATGTTATTTCTTGTTCAGGTAAATATTTAATTAATACTTATCTATAATATTTTTTATGTTTTTTTTGCGTCCGATTGTGAAAAAAGTTCGTAAAAATTGATTAGGACTTGCCGATAATGTAATATTCAAAAATTTTGCTTATGCATTAAAATGATTTCCTCCTTTAAATTATTCTTGAACCGTTTCATGGCGTCAGTTTTCTTCTTTTTCTTGCTAAGTTTAATATATTCTTTACATTTCTAATAGTTACCATGAATAACATAATCCATCATGGTCTTGAACAAACCATTGCCTTCATTTTTATGAAATACCCTCTCACTTCTGACAAGCAATTTTACTACACTACTCAATAACTTTTTGATATTTAAAGATATTTGTAAATCTGCCAGTAATTATTCCACTCTATAATTACAACCATCGCCTCAAAATCTATTTTTCCGTATTCCATATTCGCAAAAAGTCATCCTTATCTTATTGTGGATCTTGTTGTTGCTTTCACTACTGGTTGATTTTTCATTTTCTTCATTGTTTCTGGCTCGCCTCGTATATGATTTTTTTGTACATATTACTTTGTTTTGAAATCTTTGGATCAAACTTGCTTTCGTCTTGCAGTTACAACCCAACATTTAAATTTCGTATGTCTATTTTGGTTTTAATACTTGCTTGTATATTAGCAAGTTGCTTTTAGAGATAATGTAGATTTTTGCCTTAAGCCAATAGAGTTGTCTAAGTTTAATATCACGTTCTTCACGTTTTTTCTTGACGTGAGCTTTCCATTTGAATCTGGCATCCAGCGCCATACCAAAGATGTATTGTGTAAGGAACTACATTGCCTTATAAGTAAAGTTTAGGTATTGTTGTAGCCATTGTTTTGGTATCATTATTATTTCAGTAACATTCCATACACTTGGGAAGTATTTTTGTTTAAAAGCAGCATTAATTATATGTAATAGTTTTGTAATCGCCAGTTTCGATAAATATTTCAAAGTTTCTCCATTAATTAGGTCATAACGTGTTGATTTCTTTATACAGTGGAACCTCGTATAACGAGCATAATTCGTTCCAGAATCTTACTCGTAATGCGAAATACCCGTTAAGCGAAACAAGTGACGAGAATAAGGGACTTCCCCTATGCTTGTCACTCGTTATGCGAAATATCGATTTACTTTACTCGTTATGCGATATACTCGTTATAAGAGGTACTCGTTAAGCGAAGTTCCACTGTATTTAGTTTTTGTATTTCATAATAAAGTTCTTTCATGCTTACAGATGGCATATTACTCTGCTCATCTCTTTGAGTTATGGAAGGAACAATATTTAACATAGTTGTTGGATTCTCTGATGTAAAAGTTTCTTTCAGAAGTTCAGCAAACAAATTAGCTTTTTCTTTATTGCTCTTAGCCCAATTTCCGTTACTATTTCGAATTATAGATGTATGTGTTTTTGGAACCTTAAACTTTCTTGTTGTGTTCCACAGAGTGTTTTAAGTAATTTTGAGTATTATTTTGTTTGTGGCTATCAAGGGCGTAGATATCTTTTATTTCTAGATGGGGTAATTTAGAAACATTACAGCGTTATGCTCGCCAAATAGTAGGAATCAAGGTTTAAGAATCAAGGTTTAATATGGGGAAAAATAAAATAAACATTAACGTCAGAAATTAGAAATCATAATTATTGCTAAAGCCCTAAAGTAGTAGTAAATTAAAAAAAATATATGAAACTACACATTTTCTTTTCTTTATTCTGGGGGGAGGGGGTAATTACCCCCATTACTAGTGATGGGCACTATCGAATGAATCGGACTATCGAATAAATAGTAAATGAACGATTCGAACTATCGAATGATTTATTCGAATAAATTCATTCATTCGAATTCGGTGAGGATTGAGGATATCCAATAATGCGCAATATAGGTTAGGGGTTAGGTATACCGGGTTTATACAGAATTTAGCTGTAAATTTAAAATTTTAAGATTTATTTTTAAAAGTTAAATCTAATGAAACTGTTATATCTTAACAGCTTTGCATATACAATATATGAAGTTTCAATACGCTTAACTTTTAAAGTTAAATTCTTAAATTTAATTTAGTTATATCCTCTGTAGAAACTGGAAACCCGGCATAACAAGTGCTCTCCCCACTGCTTGACTTTTAATAGACAAAAATCGGGGAATTACCGAAACCTTGGATTGTAATTCTCGAGTGTGAATATCGTATATGGACTCGTTGTTTGTTATTGTAGTGAAGTTGTACTATTTGTTTTATAAAAATGGCTTCGAGTAAGAAACGGTCAGCTGTATGGGATTATTTTAAAAAAGATTCAGTTAGTGCAGTAACTTGCGAAATTTGTAAAAAACAATTCAAATTTAGTGGTAACACATCCAACATCCGTCGCCATTTAAGGCGCAAACACCCTGGGTATTTTGAAATAGATAAATTAAATAAACAAGATGAATTCCAACAATTCGGAGATCGACATAATAATGAGCCGTCAACATCAACTCAAGATCAGCAACTACCATCCACATTAATGCAGTCTCAACTTCAAGAACAAAGCAGTAAATCCACATCTACAATAGACTCCATTAATTGCAAAAAACGAAGTCGACAAATGAAACTGTGTGTTACGAATAAAAAAACCGAGTTGTCGGAAATTGAAAATGATCAAATAGATCAAAGTTTAATTAAAATGATAGTAATTGATTACCAGCCTTTATCAATTGTAGAAAATCCTGGGTTTTTGGAATATTCTAAAAAGTTACAGCCACTATACAAACCACCAACTAGAAAATTGTTATCTTCGAAAATATTACCTAACACATATAATCAAATTTGCGAAAAAGTAAAAATATTGTTAGCAAAAGTTGATCATGTCGCTGTAACTACTGATATATGGACTTCGGACAGCAATAAAGCGTATTTGACAGTAACTAGTCACTTTTTTTACGACGACTTTATACATAATGCTGTTTTGGCAACTAAAGAAATACCGGAAGCCCATACTGGTGTAAACATTGCGTCTGCTTTATCAGAAATTTTTAATGTTTGGGAAATTGACTATAAAATAATTAGCATTGTTAGTGACAACGGTGCTAATATAAAAAATGCCATAATTGGGCAGCTTCAAAAAGAACACCATCCATGTATTGCGCATACTTTAAATTTATGTGTTACAGATGCTCTAAAGTCAACCGAACCAGTAATGCGATTAATAAAAAAATGTAGAGCATTGGTAGCTCATTTTAAGCACAGCACAGTGGCATGTGAAAAATTAAAAAGCATGCAAAAACAAATGCTATACCCTGAATTAAAAGTAAAACAAGATGTATCTACTAGATGGAACTCTACTTTAATTATGGCAGAAAGACTATTAGCGATTAAAGACCCATTATCAGCCGCCATTACATCGCTACCAAGAGCTCCAAAATTTATTACAGCAACAGAATGGGATCTGCTGATAGAGGTGGTATCCATTTTGAAGCCATTTGAAAAAATAACTATTGAATTATCAGGCGAAAAATATATAACAATGTCTTTAATTATTCCTCTTATAAGATGTCTACAGCATTCGCTAAAAAGCCGCATTCCTAAAACGACCAGTGCAGAATCTTTAAAACTTGTTTTACAAGATAATGTTAGAACACGACTTGGGATCTTAGAAACAAATTTACTTTGCTCAAAAGCAACGTTTTTAGATCCTAGATTTAAAAAAGCAGCTTTTAGTGTTGCAGAAAATGGTGACATAGTTCAAAAATTAATTATTGAAGAAATATCCTCTATTTTACAAAATAAAGGTGAGACAATTGAAAAACAGACCATAGAAACTACAACTGACAATACTGATGATAAAGAAAACATTTGGTCACACTTTGATCAAGAAATTGTCACTTTAAAAAGTATTTCAACACCATGCACGACTGCAGCATTGATGGTTACACAATATTTAGAGATCTCGCTTGTAGCACGAACTCAAAATCCGATTGAATTTTGGAAGCGCTACAAAAGTGTACTTCCTGAAATATATCAACTGCATAAAAGATATTCATGCATTCCAGCTACCTCAGTTCCTTCAGAACGAGTATTTTCCAAAGCTGGGCAAATTATAAATGAACGCCGAAACAGACTCTCTGGGAAAAACCTCGACATGATTATTTTTTTAAATAGTAATATAAATTTGTTTAATTAATATATTTGTCATTTTTGTCATACATTTTTACTAGAATAGTGTATTTGTTTTATAAATAAATTATTTAACGTGTACTATTTATAAAATTAATTATTACTGAATTATAATGCACGCCAAAATCCTTATTATGTCCATACTGTCCATAGTTTCCCTCACTTGATTCAACTCATTACTTTGAGTCTCAGTCAACTATCAGACGACTGTTCATTGTATGATCAGCGATTCTTCTAGAACAGCTGAATGAATAACTTGCATTCGACTAAAATGAAAATAATTATATTTTTATTTTATTTATTCGTTTCCTTGATAATCTGTTTCAAAAATCAACGAATATTATGATAGTTATTCAAATATTCAAATAAATTCTATAACATCGATGTATTCGAATACTTGACAACAATCGAATTATTCTATAGTGTTCATAACTAATCGAATATTCGAATAGTTGGTAACAACAATCGAATTATTCGAATACTTACCAACTATCGAATTATTCGATAGTTTTTATTCGATAGTGCCCATCACTACCCTTTACCCCCCCCCCTTATCTACGCCCTTGGTGGCAATCTGTTAATGCCTTTACTGTATTTCATTTAGTTTTTTCACTATGAATTCTATTGGTAGGTTGGCTTAACAGTGGAAAGCATCTCACAATTTAGGGTCTCAATTGACTCTTGATATTATATGTAAGCGAAATTATGATTTTCCCAAAGCTTCTATGACTTGTACGAATATTTTCACAGACTTATTGAACATGATTAAAGAATAAATAATATGTTCTATTGTATTATTAAATCCTATTTAATCAATTTCACAACCGGACTTTCAAAAAATGTTGTACATAATTATCAAATAACATTGTTTTAAAATTATTTTCAGATCATACATCATATTGGATGATACTGCTTTATATAGTATTAATAGGATTGTTTGGATGTTTCATGGTGCTCTATTGTAAGAAACATTTTCACAGCCGTGAAATGTCACATAATAATAATAATGTGAATGAAACGAAGAAATCTTCCCGAAGGCCGAAAGAACAAGCTATAGATACAAACGAAAAGAAACCTCTTAATATTACTTGAACAAATTTTGCGAATAATTGAAATCGGTGAACGTTACGTAATTGTGATATACTCGTAGACATGTAAAAGCAAACTGGTATTCCAAGTTTATAAATGATACTCCTAGGAGGTTTATTTAACATAAAAAAATGTGTTTTTTTCTATTTAAAAAATGTTAAGATGAATTATTGAAGGATAAATTGCACGGAGAACAGGGTACTGTACATTTATAAACAAGTAGCTTGGTTTGCTGTCGTATTATATAAAAGAAACTGATGTAATATTTAAATTATTTATTTGTACTGGATAAATCGATCAAGATTTGACGTGTAAATCACAACTAATAGCAGTAAAAACATATTCGTTCCTAAATTGTACATAATAATATTTGTAGAGATAATAAAAGTATGTTAAAAAAAATCTTATGTCCACATAATAATCTACAGTATTCTTGCTAAGTATTTTCTTATTTGCTGTACATAAAAACGCATTATTTCTATTTTTATTTACTAATTATTATTACAAAGTTCCGTTATAAGTTAAATTAGTTTAGCTTTAAACCTAACAGATTATTGTTAAGATGTCGAAATATCTACAAAATTAAGTGAATAAAATAATTAAGTAGTTTATTAGATTTTTAAACATATTGTATCTTTTATCACGTGGCAAACAGTATTCTGTTTGTAACATTTAATTATTTATAATAAAACTGTACTCGATTAGTACTTTCTAATTACTGCTGATTTTGGCTGAATTTATTGCCAAAAACTATCCGCTTTTTATGACGAATTGTTTCTGTTTATATAGTTAATAAATTAGTTATAAATCTACTCAATAAAATATCTCATTGCATATTTTTTGTTTTATTATTATTATTTATTATAATTAAATTTTTTCCTTCAAATCATTGTCAAATTGACACCCAATTTTTGAGGTAATTGATCTCCAATTTGTAGAGCTAATTCTTATAAAATTTAAAAAGAATGGCGTCAGTTTACCATCTCTTCATAAAAAGTGAAAACTTAAATACTTATTTAACAATAGAAAACAGGTTAGTATAAGAAACTATTAACCAAATTATTATAACCAACGTTATTAAATTTGTGCTAGAAATTTAGAAGGGCCTGGTAAAAAGAGATACTATGCAGCTCTTCTTATACAAAGAGTATACAGAGGGTATAGAGTACGAAAAATGGTTAAATTTTGGCACCAACAAGCCACAATTATTCAAAGATGGGTTAGAGGTTGGTTGGTTAGATGGCACTTACCTGAAACATATCAAGAATATTTTATTCGATTAACTCAATCATATTATGATAAAATGGCAACGAAAATTCAAGCATTATGGAGAGGATATTTAGTAAAGTTTAAAAGTCATTAGTAATTTTTAAGACTATAATAATTAGTTATAATATTGTTTAGGTGCGAAAAAATATGCCTATGTCCATGGCTGAGCTTGCAAGACTTAAAAAACTTATGGAAGAATCAAATGCGAGAATAACCGGGACAATGCGTAGACTATTCGCAAGAATGAACGAAAAGGGATTAGGCGCGTTAGACGAGGATCAAAGAAGAAAACTTGGTGACGAATGTCGACAATGGGTTCTTTATATTTTATTTAAAACCCATCATTTAGTAAGAACTGAAGTTATAGAAGGAATTTATTCTGAACACGGACAAAAGTAAGTAATTACAATTAAAAAGTACTAAAATTTATTATTTTCCAGATTGATTATAGATTTCTTTTGTGTCTTTAAAGTTGCACACCCACTGATTAAATTTTAACTTTTCCAATTTCAAAAACTAAATATTTATAAAATAATTTTTATTTCAGTAAAAAATCACAAATTGAAGAATGGATGTCTAAATTACCAATGAAAAAATATATGGACGATTTAAGAAAAATTTACAACAAAGAATTCGCTAATACAGAGAAACCCATACATTACCTATTCGAATCTAGAGCATATAGAGAAATGGAAGATTGCTTCCGATTGAGAGATCGTTCACATGAATTAAAACCCGTGCCATATAAACTAGAGAGTAACCTTCACAAAAAACCGTAAAGTTAATCGTTAATAATTTGAATTTGTTTTAACGAATTTGTTTCTTTACAGGTTTGATACAACCAATAGACCAGTCCGTTATCCGTACTTTCCACCACAAGCTCGACAAAATCCGTACGGAGTTCAAGTATCGCTCCTACGACAATTTGAAAAATTTTCGCAAGAATCCGATTTTGATTTGTTTGTTCATAAATTCAAGGAACCTCAGCGATCACCACCGCCATACTACATTGATACTTGGATGAAAAAGTGTTCTCTTCATTATCCCGATGATGATTGAAATGAAATGAATGTATTTATTCAAATGCAATAAAGATTTAGTTGTGTGTCTCTACTCATAAAAAGTTGTTACTGGTTGGAATCTTTTAGATTCCCTCATAACAACTAATACTTTTGTATTTCAATACACTTCTGTACATTGACATTTATGAATACATATTGGAGACTAATTACAGTTAATGAAAAGTTTATAATAAAATGATTTTTATAATATATTTATAATAAAACATTACTTATTTACATTTTGCTTAAAACTACTTCTTCCATCTTTTCCCCAGCGTGCCCCTATCGTGGCGTGGAATCTGCGTCACTGTTTCTTCTCATGTTGTTGTCGATTTCCCTACGGGTCGTTAGGATTCTTTTGCATTCTCAGAAAGCCCAATATACTGAAACACAGCAAATAGAACAGCATGACATACCTTCTTAAATTTATAACGTCTTTGAAACATGTAACAATACCAACACCGCAATCTTCCTAACATCAATTGCTAATATCATCAGTGACATCTAAGATGGGAGTCAATACAGAAATAGAGGAACTACATGCTACGTCATTCCACAACCTGCATTAGATAAAAAAAATCATATTTTGCTGAAATGCTGTGGAATATGCAGTAACAGTAAACTTAGTAATTCACTAACGCCGAGTTATAATTAGATACAAAATAACATATTAATGGCAGAGAAATTCGAATACTTAAACAATCTTAATAGAATCTAACCTTTTCAGTTGAATAAGTTTTTCATAGTGTCCAGTTTGTTATAGCTTTCTTTTTGTACTATTGTTAAATTTTATAAATAAATCAACAAAACCGATCAAAACTAGTTTTTCCTAGGTCACGCCAGCGTTTCCTATGTATGTTAGAATTAACTAATTCAGTCTAGGATAAACCACTTTGGCCTGATAATAAACACTTCAGACTAAACTAGTATCGCCTAAAGTCTGCTCTAAATAGCTAAAACTAATGCCTTCTAGGGCAAGTAATATTTATTAACAACACAAATTTATAGTAAAAATCTAGTAAAAATGATTGGCACTAAATATGAAATTCAGATCAATACACACGAACAAAAATTTATAACATTGTAAAAATTTGTAAAGAAATTGTGTTAAATTATATTACGACCACATTGTTTAAATTTATCGATATGTGAGATGATTTAACTATAGAATTTGTGCAATATTCCATGCTGAGTACCAATTGTACAGGTCACCGTCATTTGTTTGAAGAACTACACGCATATTCTCAGTTCTCCTCTACCTGTAACTACCTTGTGTCCAACTGTACAAAGGAGGTAGGTGTAGGTGGCGGTCATGATTTATTACAGGGAGCTTTCAGTTTTATCGCTTTTTTAAAAAATTATAGAAGTATATGGCATTTTGAATGTGATTAGTGATTACTAGCCTGAAGTACGTATTCATCATAAAACCGAACGGGTTTTTCCTGAGCTAAACTACTTAATACCAACATGCTTAATATTAAGTGGCTTAGAAAAAACTAGTTTAACCTGCATAGGGTTTAACCGCTAACATATATATTATGTATATTATCTATTCTGATTTATTCTAATGAAAAATGGATATAATTCCTACTTTACACCTTAAATAAAATTTTATGGAAAAAGAACAAAATCTAAACATAATTTTTTATTTTACCTTTATTGGTTTCACGCTTATAATATCCCAAATATGATGAGATCAAGGTAGCTGTCGCAAGAGATTGTCATTATTCTCTGTAAATCGTTTCATGAACGTCTTGAAATACGGCAGTTGGCACTACATGCTGAAAAAATAGGTCTTCTATATGTTAAAGAACGAAACCTATTCTCATCATTTACAGCACACCATACCATAATCTCTACAGTTTAGTGCACACGTTCTCCATATCTTCGTCTGACCATCATACCGCCTTCATACAGCCCCAACCAGAATAGGTCTTCGTACCTAGGCTTTGATCGGCAATTGATATGCTACTGGAGAATCGTCTCTTGTTGCCATAAGTCAAAGATGGCAGTCTTACACCTCATGTGATCTTCTTTGATCTCGATTCTTCTTCTGCTACATTCCGGCTTCCTCCTAGTCAATGCCTGATAGCAGCGTGTCATTGTAAATTGATTCAGATTAAGTCGATTCGACATTTCTCTGACCAAACAGTCACCATTGCGCAGATCAGCATACGACTTCTAACAAATTTTGTTAATCCGTTTATGTGGTCATCTAGAGTGCTCCAAGTAGTTATTATGAACAAAATCTTGCAAAACACACACTTGATTACTACTTAAGCCTGATGCATTAATTTCTATAGGTCTTTTATGTTCAAAACAGTTGTACTAAATATATTTAATATTATATTAGATTACTTTCAGTGACTTACTTCAACAATAAATCAAATATATTTTTTCTTTATTTTCGAACTTATGTTTGTCACCAAGATGTCTTAAGTTTCATTGACATATCAGAATTTTGTTCATCTTGTTGTTATTGTCACTGTTCAACCGCTTTTAATTTTTAAAGGTTCTCTTTGAAAATAAAAGTACAGTAATGACTCGATAATCCGAATCAATTAAAACAAGGGCAATTCGGATTAAACGATATTTCGGATTACTGGAATCATTCTTTTATTTGAGGAAATAAAAGAAAATGCATTCAAATTGATTTGAATTTATGCAACTAATAAATAAAAATTAATTATAATTTAACGTTAATTTTAAACATTTTTCTTATACTAATAAAACAAAGTGATGAATATTGTTTGCTTTTTTCTTGGCTGTTGATCTTTTTAAATAATTATGCCGCAATTATGTTTTGTTTTACGATATAGACCAATGGCATCAAATGCTCGGCTTCCTATTCTTCATTGCTGTCTAAATTTTTCCAACACTTCTTAATTAACGAAGATGTAATTTTATCTATGAAACAGATAGTAGACATACATGCAAATATATCTTCTAAGGCATTATGTAATGTCTGATTCGTTAGGTAAAATAGTTGTATTAAGCAGATTGCATTCTGATCCATTGTTTTACGCCCTGGTAATAGTACCAGGTTAGATTATTATTGTTAGATCCCACCAAAGTTTTACCTGGAAGAGTTTTATAAAATAAAGTTGACTCGTCTGTGTTCTATATTTGATTAGGGCTTTAGTTGCAGGTGTCCAAATTTCGATAGGTTTGCAAAGTGTCTCAGTTATTATGAAAGATAGAAAGTTGCGGCTTTCGCGAACCTGATCTACTTTTTTGTGAAACTTACAATGGCGCAATCCAAATTTTGTCCAAGTGTTTGAAATTTACGATTTTCAGACACCTCCTGTATATCGGCTATCCGGAAACTTAGTAAAAAAGTAAAAACGGGTTCTAATAGATTTTTTCACGTGGAATCCAATGGTGCACGTAGAATTTTTCTAGTCATCACGGTTTTTGAGTTATAAGCACAACTCAAATACTGAATACTCAACTTCTAAAATACTTAACTCTTTATAACTCAAAAACCGTGATGACTAGAAAAANAATAACAGCTATGTTCCAAAAAGCGGCCCCGACTCGTATTCAAATGCATTCAACTAAGAATAAAATCAACGTCGCTGATTGTCGGGGAATTACCCGACAATCGGACAGTCCTAGTCGCCATCGGCCTGGCGCGCCAGCCCGATCGAGTACACATGGAGCGGTGTTGCCGCATTAAGCGTGTTCACGAGGGAATCTGGTTTCGAATTTTTCGCCAGCTAGGTAGGCCTCTTAAGCCTCGTCTGATGGCCTGCATCAGGTGTGAGGTCTTTTTTTTCTCTAGCCAGGCCTATTGCCTTGGTATATACCTCATCAAACGCATAGTGCATACCCAAGAAAGCCAAATATGCTGTATTTTACTAGGATAAAAGACTTAAGAAACTTAAGAATCCTTCAACTTATTTCGTCACATTAATTACAATAGCTCTACACCTCTGGATAACGATAATCCCCATGTGTAAAGAAGCAGGCCTGAATTAAGAGAACTGAATCTGTACTTTCGCTTGATGAGTGGTACTTCTCTGTGAATGACCGGACACTTTTGTGTACGAGAGCTACAGAAGCTCTGGTCAGCTTCACCTCCAAAAAAAATCATGAATAAGTAAGAGACCGCAATTTGCGTGTGACAATACACACCTTATATCTACCGTACCGTTATAAAAATAAGGAGGTTGTTTATCTATCAGATTCTGATGATAGAAACAGACACAATAATTAATTATTTCTCATTCATAACTAAATCATCCATTACAAGGTGTGTGAGATCCGCTTTTTATTCGTAATTCCTAATTCCTTTTTTTGTTTTATAAAATATAAATAATATTATAATAAATATTATAAAATATTATGTACAGAAGAATCGACACACTTTTATCAAATTTACTCCCAGTTTAGAGCTATCCAGTAAATCAAACTTTTCGTCAATATACAGTGTGACCCATTTGAAAGCGGAGCACCCTCGTAAAATTTGTATTTATTATCCGATTTCGACAATTTTTTTTTGAATTGTAGACCATAAAAAACAGTACCTTCGGACAAAGAGTCATGTTTTTCTTTGAAAAGCCAAGGCCTACTATTTTACTTTTTAGGTGCTAAAAATAAAGAAATCATATTAGGAAATTTTTTAGAAAAAATCTGAGTATACCAGTATGCCTTTTGAAATGGGCATATACCAAGTTTCATCAAAAATGGTTAGAAATTAAAACCGTTGTAGATAATTGAAAAATATAATTTTTTATCAATTAATTTCATCTGTAACAAATGTAAATAGTTTTTTTGTAATTCGCGACGGTAATGAAAGTTCTAACAGTAGTCAAACGGGTGCTGTAATGAGACTCCTTATAGCATCCGCTGCTATAATGAGATTTTAGTAACATTTTATGGAGCCAGTTCAAGTTGGTGACATTGCGTCATTAATTTTTCTAGTTGTCAATGTGACAATTAGAAACCCGATAACTCATTACAGCACCCGTTTGAGTACTGTTAGAACTTTCATTACCGTCGCGAATTACAAAAAAACTATTTACATTTGTTACAGATGAAATTAATTGATAAAAAATTATATTTTTCAATTATCTGAACGTTGTTAATTTGTAACCATTTTTGATGAAATTTGGTATATGCCCATTTCAAAAGGCGCTTAATGCAGTGGTGTACTCAGACTTTTTCTAAAAAAATTCCTAATATGATTTCTTCATTTTTTGCACCTAAAAAGTGAAATAGTAGGCCTTGGCTTTAAAAAAAATATGACTTTGACCTAAGGTACAGTTTCATACGCTCTACAATTCAAAAAAAAATTTGTCGAAATCGGGTAATAAATACAGATTTTACGAGGGTGCTCCGCTTTCAAATGGGTCACACTGTAGATATTTACATTCGACTTTACATTCCCAACTGTCGTATTACTAGACCAACATAACTAAGATTGATGTCTTACGATGGAGATCGATCCTACCCACACACTCAACCTAGTTTCCTAGTGAAATTATTGATTTTCACATCAGCTCTATGTAAATAGAGGAAAACATAATTATCATTAGCAAGATCTATGCAGGAGACATAATGAGGCTACGTCATTCCACAACCTGCATTAGATAAAAAAATTCATATTTAGTTGAAATACATAAAAATGAACAGAGCAAGGATGATACAGTTTAATGTTTAGGGCATATGCAGTAACAGTAAACTTAGTAGGTAATGCAGTAAGGACGAGCTGAAATTAGATACAGAATCACAAAATTATTAATGGCAGAGGAATTCAAATACTTAAGCAATTTTAATGCAATTTACCTTTTCATTTGAATAAGTTTTCCAAAGTTTCCAGAGTGGATTTTACTCAGATAATATAGCATTGAAAAACTAGTTTGGCCTAAATAGGGTGTAATCGGAAACATATATATTATTTTGTCTGATTTATTCTAATGTAACAAAAGGTATACTTGTTACTGTATACCTTCAATAAAATTTTATAAAAAAGGGTAAAATCTAAACATAATTTTTACTATAAAATGGGTTATAATAATGGGTTGGTTCCCTTTATTGGTTTCGCGGCCCCCACTCTTCCTAGCATAATTCCTTGCACCGCAAGAAATTGATGTAATACTCTATAAATAGGACCATAGAATGTTTTGGAGGACGGAAGTGCTGAAAAAATAAGTCTTCCAACTGTTGAAGAAATGGAAGAATAAGAAGTTTTACCAGCTCATACACATATAGCCAAGCGTTCTTATTATCTTAGAGAAGAACAAACAAGACCTAGTCCAATCAAGTATCAATCAAGTTCTCTACTTTTCCTTGACTTGGTCCAAGTTAAGTGAGTGAAGCAAAAAATTTCTTCTTTATCACCTAAAATTTGTAAACAGCAGGTTATACAAACTAAATAATTTAGAAACATCATCAGTTACATACCCTTTATTTACTTCTTTTTTCTTTACTAACAAAGTTGCAAACAACTCTTACTTCAACTATAAATCAAAAACATTTTTCTTTAGTTTGGAACCTACATTTAGCACCAAGATGTTCAAGTTCCATAAACGTAACATTTTAAAATTTTCTTCACCTCGTTGTTATTGTCACTGTTGTTAAATAGTTTTAAATTTTTAATGGTTCTGTTTGTATACTTAAGTTTTAAAGCACGGTTAAAAGCAGCCGATGGCCTTTGTTTCTGAGTCCAATAATCTTCCTTTCACCAATTCTAAAATTAATTTGTCAGGTTTCAAAGCTTTCAATGCAATAACCATTAAATCAAATTCTTTTGAAACCGCCAGCAATAGATAACTTTCAAGTCATTTTACTGATTCTTTTTTGAAGTTTTATTTTAATTTTAATTTTTAATATAATTGATATCTTGGAACATACTTTCAACATTTCCACGTTTTATGTACTACTTTTTTATACATATACTACTTATGCATTGGCAACCAGAACTTTTATGCACTTTTTAAAATAGTTACCTATAATTAACTCCATTTAAAATTTATAATAACGAATTTATGTTAAGTACAGTAGACATATTGTTTGAATTAGTTTTTTTTAATTATTATATACTTGTGTATGTTGTGTTGATGTAGTGAATATTATAGATAATTTAAGTTAAAGAAATTTGTTGACGAACAATAAATAAAATATAAAAATCATTAAAACTAATATAAGAATTTCTTTCATCCTAAGGAAGATAGAGACATAAAAATATTCATTTTGAACGCATTTATTTTTTTTATATATACAGTAATATTGTACACACATCTAATATACATTTCTAAGTAAAGCTAAACAGTNAGGTGTCTGAAAATCGTAAATTTTGAAACACTCCCTGTATATCAAAAACGACGAGGGCTATGAAAATTTGGTTTACGCCATTGTAAGTTTCACAAAAAAGTAGGTCAGGTTCGCGAAAGCCGCAAGTTTCTATTTTTCATAATAACTGAGATACCCTGCAAACCCATCGAAATTTGGACACCCTGTACTAGCACAAAAGTCGTATTTTCTATAATGTTTCCGATAAAACACCCTAGCCTGCTCAGCTAAATATTCATATGAATTAGTGCAATGACGAGATATTTTTTTTAACCATGAAACAATGAATTTTCCATTTTTTGAAATTCTCCAGTCTGCAAAGTCTTTCTTTTACAAAGACCATGATAGCAGTTTTTATAAAGCTAATACATAGAAGAGAACGCAGAAAGAACTATACAAAAATAAATATGCATTCTGATTGTAGGATACTCATATTCGGATCATCGAATACCGAGATTTTTTGCGGATTACAGAGTACTTCGGATTACCGCTTACACGGATTATCGAGACACTACTGTATCTTATTTTAAAGCACGATTAAAAGCACCGGACTTGTTTCCTTTTTTGTCTTGTTTCTTGGCCCAGTAATTTTCCTTTCACAAATTCCAAAGTTAATTTATCAAGTTCCAAAGCTTTCAATTACATCAAATTCTCTTCAAAAGACCAGCAAAAAAAAAACTTACGATGACCATCTCTTTTAAATTTACTTTATAATATTTTTGTTTTTAATATAATTGTTTTCTTGAAAAAAAACTTTCTAAAGCTCTCTATATTTTATATATTACTTTTGCAACAACCTTTTACTGATATACGTTTTTTTGTAATATATTACAAATCGTCACCTGAGAATTATTTTGAACCATGTCCAAAACACAATCATACTATGTGTAATTGTATTGTACCAATGATAACACAGCATGCAACCACATGACATAGAACTTGATACCACTAATCTTAACATGAATTTAGACATAGCCTGTAATCACACGAAAAAAAAACGAACTGCTAACGTTTAAATTCAAATTACTGCTTTGTAATCGTAAGGGATTTGGTTTAAAATAATTCTTGGATGACGAAATGTGCATTGGCAATGGATTGAACCAGAACTATTATTAACGCCATTTGGAATTTGCAATAACGGATTTATGTTAAGTGCAGTAGAAATATTGCTTAAATTATTTCTTTTTTTTTGCTTATGTTATTAGTTGATATAGTAAATATTATCAGATAATTTGAATTAATGAAATTAGTTGAATCATTGTAACCAATTTAAGAATTTCTTTTATCTTGACGAAGACAGAGATAAAAATATTCATTTTGAACGCATTTATTTTTTCTATATATACAGTAATATTGTACACACATCTAATATACATTTCTAAGTAAAGCTAAACAGTCGTAAAAGATCCCATCGATATAATTCGATGTTCAAGGTACTTGGTAATCTGTATAACAAGGTGACATATTGCAAGTTGGATCAAATAATTTAGAAGCAGCTTGAAAAGCTGCCATATCCAGATTATTTTGGTGGGATGTTAACATGTTATTTTGTGTTAATGACATGTTACTTAAGAGGATTTCCCTAAAATCAAAGAAAAACAAATTAAATGAGTAACTGTTTTAAATGTAAGTTTAATTATTATGCTTTTTTTTAAATATGTTTCTTGTACGTGCTTTACGGTGGCTATATTCCGGAGTTACGACAATTGTCGAAGACAAACAGTCCCAATAATAGCAACATAATGGTAATGAGCGTTTTTCTCAACTGGCGAACGCGTATAACCTCGTTGTTTAGTTACGGTGGCGAACGCGAGGGCTGTGGTTAAAGACGATGACGACGACAACGACTGGCAAAGTACGTCGAAGGACGACGGACAAAGAGGCGGCGACCGAAAGGACAATAAAACGTCCGTGTTATGACTGCCACCGGGCCAACGTGGAACAATTGATTGGACCCCGTGTGTGGCGGAACTCCCATTGCATCGGAGAGGTTGTTCCAGACGTGCCAGAACTTGTGGCCGAGATTTACATGTCCATCCACATTAATAAACCAGAGCGGAACGAAACTTGAAATTTCCTTACTGGCACGTACAAGAAAACAGTACAATATTTTTACTATTCTCATTGAATTTAAAATTTAATACCCAAGTGTATTGTAAGATATAATTATAAATATTTTTTTTAATTACTTACGGTCTTGGTTGAGGTGTTCTATCTCTTTGCCTCCTATTCTTAAACCAATTTGAAACTTGTGTTAAAGTTAACCCAGTCCTTTTAGCCAACGCCCTTTTTTCGTCTGGAGTAGGATACCTATTCCTAGCGTAACATTCTTTTAAAGCATTTCGACTTCTTTCTTTAAAACAATAAACAGTTTCTTCTCCATCCCATATCGTTTTTGGCAAAGGATATTTTTTTCTTAATCTATATTTATCTACAGCACCTATATAAAAAAATATTTTATTTATAAATATCTTAAGGAATACAATTTATCTTACCTAGAGGGCGTCCTCTGACCTTTTCAGCTTCTCGATAATGCGCTTTGAACCATAAACTTTGAAGATCTGTATGCCAACGTGGATGGAATGCATGGGATTCTAGTATTGCGTATAATTCATGATAGGATCCTCTATGGAAAGCAACCGCTGCACGTGCTCGTAGAACGCTCTCGTTACCTCTCAAGAGTTCCGACGGTGGTAATGACCATAGAAACGTTGCTAACCTATCTATATCTCCACGTTGTTGCAAAGCTTCGCACATACATTGCACCTATAATTTAATAAGTTTTTTTAATTTGATAACAAATAATCTTGAATCAGCGATTTAAATTAATCGATGCATTAGTTAAAATTGTTTATAAGCAAAAATGAGTTATTTAATCACAGCTGATTGAACGTATTCATTTACCAGCGACTCCACTTTGCACACAGTTTCGATGATAAGATGTACGAAGAAGTTATTTATTATTAGTCATATTTCTTTGAAATTTAGTATATTATACCTCTCGTACTGGGTATTATATCAAATATCTTTTGATGGACACGAAACAATTATAATACAAGGTATAAAATGAGTATTTCAAAGAAAAAGTGATAAGAATAGAATAAAGAAAAGAAACGATTTTTCATAATAATTTTAAAAAGTATTAATAAAGAAAAAGTAATACTCTTAAACGTACTCTTTAATTGGTAGATACTTTATTATCAAGAAATTCTAAACTGAATTGTTAATTAAAGTTTTTCTTCTAATAAAAGTATTAAAGGTTGTAAGTGTAGAAGAAAACGCTTTAAATAAAAGCAAATTTTAACTTTTTTTAAACTGTTTAATTTATACTGTTGTTATGACTGTGTGGTTAAAATTGTGTTACTCTAGAAAGCGATCTATGGTCCTTTTGTGTATTTATTGTTGTGGAGAGAGTCTACAACCTGCAGATAACTGTAATTTCTGTTTGACTCCGCATATAGAAATAGAATTGTCAACGAAAAATGAAGCAACAATTATTATGCAATATATTTATTTAACATTCGGACCAGTCATAAGCTCGAAATAGAAAATTAAGATAGAGTAGTAGAAGTACTCAACAAATCTTACACCTCCTATGACACTGATTTTGTAACAAAAGTTGACAATACAATTTAATCCAACCCAACCCTACAAACTAAGGCAAGTAGAATTAAATTCATTCCATACCTTAATTTTGTGCTGGAGAATGTAGAGCAGTCACTAATGAAATTTTTTTCAACGTAATGCCAGGATTTCGCTGTACGTACAACTTCAGAGGAATTTTTTTGTACTTTTTGAGAAGAAAACGATAAACGTTAATGTCTTGACGACATGTTTGAACAATGTTCAATTGATTATTCTGAACACTAGTGGAAAAGCTGGCGTTTTAAAAATCATCGCTATACCCTTATCAAGTAAGGTACAATACATTATATTGAGGCAGAATGCCCAAGAACAAACAACTCTAGCAGAAAAATATCGCTGCCAAACCTCTCGTATGTCCAAAATATGTTATGATCCCTACATGTTATTGGTGAGATGTACTCTTAAGGAAAAACTTTTAGTTATTGAGAGACAAATTTCTTAGATTAAGAGATGCAATAGTTAATAAGACAGATTTTAAGAAAACTTATAAAGCAACATGCGTTTTACAAATTTTTGAAGAAGAAAGGAAAAGAAGTTTAGAACTTTTAGGTAACAAGGAACATAGTCAATAGTTCTACAAAATACCAACAACCTGACTATTTGCCCTCTCGTTATAAAGCTATCGCTTATTAGCATGGTGAAATTTTCCAACGGAATGTTTCTTCAAAAAAACACAATATCAAGGCCGTTAATAAAAGAAATTACATGAGATAACTATAATAAAGTGGTGAATCTATCACATAATACATTCAAACTGACTCAACTACAATGTAACTATCATAAGAGTCATAAAAATCTTGATCTTGTTGAATTAGTTAATAAGTTGGCACATGTTACACCGGAGACCTAAATAAGTAATCTTATCTAAATTAAAATGATTCTCGCACATATGTAGATATCGTTGGCATGGACACGTTGATGACTGATGCTTGGCTAATCAGATGAGCCTAGAGCTAGATTAAAAATCTGTCGAGATTTACTCTATTTTCATCAGAATAAATTCGTTCTTATGCTATTTCCATTTGATTTCTTTGAACCTATTTCAAATCCAAATTTTATACCATTTGATATGTCAACACGCAATGATAAGCAAAGTTATCTTTGAATTGTTTGGAGCATCAGTTTGTAAAGAACCGAAACGTAAAGAAAGCTCAACCACCTTTGCCTGATTTTCTAAGAATTCCAGACAAAATAAGTAAATATTTAATATTAGTAGTCAGAGTTAATTAATTTTTTTTTCGACAATCGCATGGTTGTTGTAAGGGTTTTCGATTTTAGTCGCTTTCTGAAATTTACATTCAAAGATATACTCCTTTTAATGATAAATATCTTGACCGGAGTGGACAATATAAAAAATAATGCTGTTCCATCGTTTTTCATTAATTAGTTTGTTACCAAAAATCTTAAAAGCTAACTGCTTTGGAAAAGCAACTAAAACATTTTATGACATTAATAATATAATTTCAGAGGTTCAATTCGGGTTTTTATTCCTACATAGCTGCGATGATATAGTCCTGGCATCTGATAAGAAAATGGTTACTATTTTGATTTTTATTAACTACTCTAAAGCTTTCGCTCACTTAATGTCGCCTCATTACTCTCCATTTTGTACAATATACTGAAATGCAGCTCATCAAAGGAGCCCATCAAAGGGCGTTTGTTCTCAACGGGTGATCTTTCCGGTAAGTTATAACTCAATTACCTTTTATTCTCTTCCCCTCACACGCTTAAAGCATTTATAGCCATTACATAAATAGTAATTTGTCAAATATTTTCCAATGTTCCAAAAATCAATTTTGCTGTCATTCTGTTCTCGCAAAGATCTTGCTCGCAATCTTTTCGGTTTATTAGACGCTTTTTTGGTTGACCACCCAGTTGTTTTCGTGAAGATGATAAGAGGCGTGGGTATGATGATTGACAGCCTAGAGCCTTTGTTGAAGTTAATTTAACAATGTCTTTTTTATCAACAAGTATAATTAGAACACTAGAGGATGAATAAAATTAAAAAAAAAAAGCAAAAATAGATAAAGAAATAGAAGAACCAAATATTGATGACAACAACAAAGAAAAAGATAGTAATAGTAAAAGATGTAGATTATAAATTAATATAATGACTGATAAAAGAGATTGAAGATGACTGAAAATAAACGACACCCGACGGTAGTTATTAATTCAAAAGTTCTTGTAAAAGTTCCGATTATAGATTGTGGAAGGAGAAATCCAATGTCCGTACTTGCCATTATTACCAATATTAGCACTTGCTGATTATAGTTATTATAAGATAAGTACTAGAAATGGTATAATCAATCAATAATATATAAAGTCTCAATTTAACGATTGTGACAAAATATGTAATAACGGGCGCAATAAATTTCCACAAGACAAGTCTTTGATAATGTGCTTGTACAAAGAAGTAATGACAGAATCTCTATATGTAATGATAATGGAGCACCTCAAATTGGAAAAGCTTCCTGAAGATATAATCAGTTTATAATACTCCTATTATTGATTGCATGTGAAAAGTGCAAAAGAACCTTACTAATACAGTTTTCATTGTCATGTGAATTGTAATTGTTATCTGGTAATTATTGCCATTATTACAAATTTCGAAAATTTTCATAGCATTAGATACTTTAAGTATAAATTAATTCCATTTAATAACATCTGCAAGTGATGCTATATCTGAATTTAACGTAACTCGAACACCATTTAAATTATAAGCATACAAATGTACCACTCTACCAGGCGTAAACAGAACACGCATACTTGAGGATCTGCATAATACCCTATAATCTGATATTCAAGATTACTGTAACAAAGTTTTAATGTGAATTGTTGTGGTTTATAATGTAGTATGCGTAATAACATTGTTAAAGTGCTGCAAAATGAATAACTAAATTCAAATTGAAACTTTTATTGAAATTTGAACAATCTATTAACTTTAAGCAATTCTTTTTAATTTCAGAACACTCTCAAATTCAACTTATTTATGACATAGTAAAAAATAATGCGTAGATATTTCTCATTCTAATAGTTACTAGCACTTCTAATCTATCGATACAATAGAAGTAATGGGCTCTATAACTAGTTGTAAATGAAGCATTTTAAAAACGAGTTTTTATTAAATTTCAGTGAAGGTAATCTTGGTTGGTTAAGATCGTATAGCAGTATTTGTTGAAATGTAACAGAGCGGGTTTCTGGCAATATACCGGCAGTATACCTTCCACTTTTGTAGGTGTCCCAGATAGTCGGCGCAATATAGGTAAATTAGACACGATATCAAAGAATTAAGCAAATTAGTCCTTATAAAAAGACAAATTTGTTCATAAATTGCAGTCATTACGTAAACCTGTAGTGACACTTAGCCGGTATTGATAATGAGGGACTTTTTATCATTTTTCATTAATAAAATTTTTAATAAACTGTCTTAACTTAAGTCAATAAGTTGAAATCAACAAAGTTAGAGTGAAAATAAGATTTTTTCCAATAACGTGCCACCTCGTTCTCCCGTCTTAACTGTAATGTATTTTTTGGTGTGGGAAAACATAAAAGAAAAGGTGAAGACATTTTTAACATTTTGTTTACTTTATTAGAACACAACCACTTAAATCACGTTTATTCGAATAGCTTTGTGTCAATATGAACTCCTAACACAAACTAAAATAACTAAAATGAGGAGGACAAGACAAACAAGAATGTTCTCACATTCACCGACGAAATAAAAGCGTTTCAGAAAAAACTGCAGATTTGGAAAAAAATGTTGAAGCTAATTTGGCCAACTTCCAATAGAAATGTAGGAAATAATTGAGTTCTTATTTTTGTTCTTTTTATAATTGAATGGATGTGTGGAATCATCAAGTGGCAAAGGTGGGTATCACGTCGTGGATTGAAACACAAGGAATTGCTCCTTGAAGCCTTTTGAATTTATAAAAAAAGACCATGAGGCGATATTGTAAAAATAATTGAAAATTTTGCTTTAATTTAGAACTTCTTACCTGTGTGCGTTAAAATTTTCTGCTCTCAACACAATCTAGTCTAAAAAGCGAGGATAAGTAATCTTTCAAACCCAACATCGAAGAAATCGCTCGATAACACCAACTTCATGTTTCACATCAAAAAAATGTGCTAATATGAAATGTCGTAAAATCTAAATATATTTTGTTTTTTGTATTAACTCATTCCATAGCCATAAAAGCGAGTTAAATGAAATTCCCGGTATTAGCTTAAAAGACCTCCATCTTTAATAAAGTATATCTCAAAAACTAAATGAGATATTATCATGAGACAAAAAGCATTTTGTAAGCAATTTAACTAACATTTAATGCGATTAATGTTATTTCTTGAAATCTTTAAATTTAGAGATTGATTTTTTTTTAACCAAATCACATGTACGTAAACTATATCTCAAGAACGAATTGATATATCGATATGAGATAAAAAACATTTTATTGCAAATTTAATCACTATGTAGGTAATATGATATGTCATCCATATCACGAATGTCAACTGTAAAAGTACACTTGAACTTTATAACATTATTAGGTATAGTATTATATTAAGACGTCGTAAACCACCAGTAGCTACAGTGCAAAAGGTGTAAGATACAGTGCAAGAGGCAGCATTATATCTTTGTTTCAGATAATTTGAATTTGCAGGAGTAATGTCAAATCCGTCTGATCTGCCCGGACCATCATGTCCCATCAATGATACTACATCTACAACGCAAAAATCCAACTGATAATACTTTTAAATTTATCAAGACAATGCAGAAAGTAAAAGATTCTGAAGAAAATGATAAGGATATCTGACGATGAGGATAATCAACTTGTTGGAACTACAGTAAATCCTCATGAAACCGCAACAAATTCTGTTACAACCGATGATACTTGGGAGCCATGCGGAAAAATCACAAATATTTTTCCAAAGTGATGACTTTCAGTTCAATCCTAACGACTATTGCGACGCTTCAAAATTTATTGCCAGTTTATGGACAACGAATTTCTTGAACTAGTAATGAGAGAAACAAACAGATATGCAGACCAATAATCTTAAATTAAAAAACATATAAATTTATTTATTTTAACTTATCTCAAAACTGATTCGATTTTGAACTTGAGTATTTTTCATTTTTGTCTTATCTCTAAATGTGGATCACAGGGAACCGAAGAAAATGCACGCTTTTTAAATAGGTACCTTGTTTTCAATATTTCTTAATAAAACTGTGTTATGAAATATACAACAAGTTAATTAAACATTAAATAAAATTGGTTAAGTTGTATTAGAACCACAAATTTCTATACTTTCTCGCTCATCCTGTGCAGTTTAAATTTTTTTATTAATTTATTACTTGTTTTATTTTACGTATGTTTAGAATATCTTGAAGACAAGCTACGATTTTCTTAAAATATTATTACAAATTATATTAAATATGGATGTAATGAAATATAATGTTCATATTTACATACGGAAATGAATACTTTGTATATAATGTTTTACATACATGTTTTATAAATAAACAATACGAAGAAAAACTCAATCTACCTGTTTGTAAACATTTGTAATCAAATTTACCAAATTGGAATTTAATCCAAATTAACCTAAATACCTTATCACTTCTTCCACTCGAAACATAAAAACATTTATATCAAATCAATTTCAAGATTTCATTAACTCGTTGAATTAATAAAGTACTAATTTATAATTTACAGCACTTACTTGATCTGGTGAAAAACTTAAAGCTTTCTTATTAAATCCATCAACATTATTCAAATGGATAGTGTTAGAATCATTTTTCTTATTATAGTAATTTAATTGATTCTTCATTGTATCAACCAATTCATCCATTTTCTTACTAAATCCACCACTGTAAGAAAACCCTTTCTTCTGGTATTCTTCACCCCTATTCTTCAAACCACCACCATTATTGTTATTATTATTATTAGTTGAATTAACCACAAACTCTTCAAGTCTCTTCCCCATTTTCTCATCAACGCCTTTTTTCTCATTCTTCTCTGCATAAAACTCCCTTCCAAAATACCCATCAAATTCCCTTTTCGCACCACTTAAATAGATACTTTCAGACGAATAATAATTCACGTTTAAACCGTATTGGGGCGACGTGGAATCACTCGACGTACTCGAACCGTCCACTTCCATCGTTTCTAATTACACGATAAATTCGTCGATTATTCTCTGCATATTTTAACACAACAACCAACGAACGGAATAAACACAAAAAAGCCACCGGTTTACTAGCGCGAACATAATTTGATTGTGTGCCCGACGATCGGGCTCTCTTCGCCGAGCAACCAACCCTGGGTCACGCCTCATAGAAGGAATCACCAATAGGCAACGGGCTTCCTCGGTTGTCGTCCTAACTTCAACCCCTACAACAACCAATCGTTGCGAGGAAAATGCTCTTTTATTACCTCGTTTATGTAGTAGTTTTTTTTTCAACGACCCTTTCTACTAGGCTGAAGTCATCAGCAGCAACGATTCTGAATCGTGAACATTTTGTAACGTGATCGTAATGCTATTAAATCTTTTAGGTAAAAATGTTTAAGGTATTGATTTCAATTTCTTAGTTTTAATTTAATTTGGTTTAACATTAATATAATTCAAGAAAATATTGTTCTTGTTGGTTTAAAATTGTCATATAACATGAGTGTTGACTGTAGATCAACATATTTTTTACAAAGTTGTTAGGTTTATCGTTAACGTTCAATAATCCAAAATTATAGACATTTAGCATCAATTTGATATAACCATCATACCTTAATCTTAGTCTTAAATTACTGACTCACAATTTGAAGTTAATAGAAGATTATTTTTTTTATTTTTTCCAAAAGTTATAATACATATACCGGGTGTTTAAAAATTGTGTTCGGATATTTTACCCACTTATAGTTCTCATCAAGATAAACAAAAAAAACTTAGTAAACTTAGGTCCTAAAATCAATTGTTTCAGAGATATAGTTGCTTTTACATTGCTTTTCAATAAAGTTTCTCACTCTCACTCTCAATAAGTTTTCTCACGTCAGTTTCACCAGTGTAGTTGAGTACTTTTATTTCATGTAAGTATTAATGAATACACAAATGCAGAAATGGCAGACATACACTTTACGCACTTTATGCCTGATAATGGTAACGCTTATGAAGCAAGTCGCCATTACTCGGAAACTTACCCCAACCGTAATTTACCTAGTGATAATTTTTTTCGCAGTATTGCATCAAATTTGTCGAAAGTGGGTTTTTTTAAAACAACTCACCACGATGTCGGTCGACCTCGATCTGTGAGTACTCTTGCAGTAGTAGACGTTGTTTTGAGAAGGGTTGAAGAAAATCCAGGTACGACTGTAAGAAGTAAACATTAGCTCCATAGTGTAAGAGCTGCAATAAACATTAATGCCTCTCTAGTTTGGAGAATTTTACGTCAGCGACAATTGTATCCTTACCATGTTCAACGAGTACAAGAACTTGTCGCTCCTGACTACGTTTTGAGAAGAACATTTTTTCCGATAGTTCATGCTAGTGATTTATTCACTGACAAAGCTGCTTTTACAAAAGACGGAATTTTGAATTTTCATAACAATCACGTTTGAGCGGATGAAAATCCTCACGCTGTTGTGCAAACAAGAAGCCAGTATAAGTTTTCTGTAAATGTTTGGCTTGGTATACTTGGTGACCGATTGATAGGACCAACGATTCTTCCTAATCGCTTAACTGGTGAAACACTTTGCCGATATTATTCGAAGATGTACCTCTCCAGGATAGGTTACAAATATGGTTCATGCAAGATGGCGCGCCTGCACATTTTGCGATCATTGTTCGTAATTTTCTTAATAGTAAATTTTATGGTAGATGGATAGGAAGACGAGGTTCAATAGTTTGGCCACCTAGATCATCTGATTGAAATCTTGTAGACTTTTTGGCATGGGGTTAGTTAAAATCATTAGTGTGTTTAGCACCTGTTAATAACTTGGAGGATCTCCAGCAAAGAATACAAAACGCATGTGATGCTATTCGCCAATCTCCAGGAGTATTCGAAAGAGTGCGCAATTTTTTTGTACGAAGATGTCAAGCATGTCTTCAAATGGAGAGAGATCATGTAAAGCATTTACTTTAAGCATTTTGTATTCAGTTTTTATGTTCCGTTTGTATTTTCCCCAATTAAATAAACATTTGAAGTCCAAGACGCTTCATTCGCTAATAACACTGGAATTTTTTATATCTTCGAAACCACTGCTTTTAGGTCCTAGGTTTACTAAGACTTTTTTGTTTATCTTGATGAGAACTATAAGCGGGCAAAATATCCGAACGCAATTTTAATCACCCGGTATAAATAAATCTTTTATAATTTCTCATTCTTTCATAAATGTTATATTTCTTTATGTCTTATAAACTTCAGTGTCAAAACCGATATGTTTCAGTCATCAAGCACATTTTTACACGTATTCTAACAGTTTCCTTCTAAACTCATTACCAAAAAATACAACTCAAGTGATTTACGACATCTCATATGTTTGTTCGAAGAGGTCACCGCGTTTCGACGCTGGACGCGCTTTTTTCTGCTTTTGAAAAAATCTGTTCGTGTTAAATGAACCGTTACGTCATCTGCAGTCGAAAACATAAATTTTCGATAATTTACGACCGTCCAATTATTTTTTTTTCTTTTTTAAGGAGCAGGGGTTGTAACCTCTAACATAGGAATACCGGGATAACTTCGTGTTTTGCTCTTCTGGAATCACCACTGATTAAGTTTATACTTTGTCCTTTTTTAGCTTTGTATCGAAACTTGATATCTTGAAGGATATAAATTATTAGATATTTTTTTGAAACTAATAGATTTGTTATCTTAGGGGAGATAGGATATTTATCTGATAAAAACTGTGTACACCCTTTGGTAGTAGTTAGAAATGACACCTGCTCAATGTAAAGGTAATGTTCATCCCTTGCATTGTGTTATAGCGGTAGCAACCCTAACGTTCTCCTAATTGGAATGATTGCTATTCCCTATGGAGTTAATTATAGGACACATGCAACCGGATAGTACCCTACCAATATATCATACACTCTAGCCAGATTTAACGTTTAATTATACGCCCTTTTCGCAAGCGCCGCCGTTAATTTAACAGTGTATGGGTGGCAAAACCTCAATGACGCGTATTTAATTAAATTATCCAGAGATTTTCGAAACAACCTTTATGCCTTGTTACAAATTGCAAAAGGCGTTAATTATCTTAATTAGAACGTTAACAAAATTATATACAAAAAAAGATATATGTATTAATTAAGACTTGTTAAGCCTTAATAGGGTTGTGTTGGATTACTGTAATATGTTAATTCTATGTTAATTTCTTTTAGTGTAATCTAACCAAATTCATAAAGATGGAACATTCTCTCGAATACCGATTAAACTAAAAATAAAAATTAATATTGTGCTATTCAGCACCGTATTTACTTACCTTCAACAACATTGAAATATTTTTATTCCAAATTAAAGCTTTGTTAATATCTTCGTTAAGTTAACATACCACAAATTCTTCCCAAATATACGAAAATGTGTTGGATCGTGGAAAAAAAATAAGCGTGTACAGTCAGAGGATACTATTCTTGATCATTTTCATCATCATTCTTTCATCAGCTATTCCATTTTACGCCATAATCTTTATCCACTTGTAACCATTGCAGCACCATACCTTGGCTACTTCTTTTGGAATGTTATTTTATAAAACAGTACAAAAAACACGAATTAAAACGTGAATAAAATTATTATTAAATTATTATTAATTAACCTGAATGAGTTCAACGCTTTTTATATAGCCAGGTAAATAAGCAGAAATGATATAACCTTGAACTTGGGATGTAGGCTTCTTATCCACACCCAAGGTTTATATATAAGAGGTTGTCTAGGTTCGTACGCAATCATACTGCGCATTACGTCACATGTGGAAAATAATACCGCCAAGCAATTCAAATTGAACAAAGGCATGGAGCACCACATGGCCATGAGGTTGCGTGCGCAATCCGTGATCGCTTACGTCACGAAACACTCCTGCTCTTGCCCCTCGCCCACATACTAAAATCAAAGTATTGCAGCATAGGAACTTAGACAACCTTTAATATATAAACCTTGATCCACACCCACCTTCTAGATGCTGCTTCCATTTTCGCAACATACCATTAAAATATCTAATGATGAAAAGTCTAACTTATTCTCCGTGCGATCGTGAAGATCGTGAAGAGATCTTGTTATTAGGAGGGCTTATCAGAATAGCTTAGCAATAGCTTTTCTTCTATGGATAACTTAGCACTGGGTACCAAAAGATGGATCAATAGATCAATATGTATTTAATAAGAGTTATGTAGATGCACAATGTAAACTTCAGATTTCTGAGTCGGAAGAAAGTCATAGGAGAAGTGCGGGATAGGTACATAAAGCTAAACTTTTCATCTTCTGAATGTAAAATAATTTCAGATTAATAAGAACGATGTTTAAAAGCTTTGTACGGCTTCTGATAGTATTGCAAATTCTTCCTTCTGATATTTCCTGGCTGCAAGTGCAAATTTTTAAAAAAACATTAAACATCAAATTATTTAAAAGAACGATCGCCAGCAAACAGTACCAGTGTATATTTCGCACAAGTTTGTGGCACATCATTTATATATAAGATGAAGAACACATGCAATTATATACTACCTACGAACCATATTTTATTAAAAGAAGAGACGAGTAGACAATACAATTGTTTTGAGAGCACTTTATTTACATATTTGCTGTCTACCACTTCAATATCTTTGATTTACATTTGATTATTTATTATGAAATGTAGCAACAGTGGCGGACATGATAAGTATCTAATTGTCAAGGGGAAATAACAATTTTAATAGCACCGTTTAACGAAAATAATAATTCTATTGTACATTCCCAATTACGATATTACGAATGGGTTTGACTTGTTCTTCGTTTCTTCTTCATATACTATTAGTTCTTTAGCGAAAATACACAAAACGGGCTGCTAACGATCTATAAAAAATGTTACAATTATGGAAGTTCTATCATAATCATCTCTTATCGCCTACTCATTATTTCACAACACAATGCTGTAATGCTGTATATTAGGAGGAGAGTAAACTATACACAGTTATGACAGTTTCGATGTTGAGCACTTTTCCCAAGTTTTATAAATACAAACAAGAATCAGGAGAGTTTATAAGTAAATA